AATCTTTGCACAAAACTTATCTCTCATGGGCCTCCCCTGGTGGCGCAGTGGTTGAGCACTGGGCTGCGAGTCTGCCCACAGCCCCTGCAACACCAGTTCGTTCCCTGGCCACCGGTGAGGGTCCCACCAAAAAAAAACAAAAAACAAGCAAACAAACAAACAAACAAAAAAACTTATCTCTCAGTGAGGATTATGGTGCCATCTTTCAGAAATTACACCCAGCTCTCCTGCCATCTCTGCCACATGCACACCCCTTCTGACTCTATATTGTTCTAAGGCTTTTATCATTACTAATAATTACTGTTACACAATTAAGGCTGAATTATGTCCCTCATTCTCCCACTATCCCTTGCTAAAGATATGTTGAAATCCTAATTCCCATTACCTCAGAATGTGACCTTATTTAAAAATAGGGTCATTTCAGATGTAACTAGATAAGAAGAGGACATGGTGGATTGGCTGGAGAGGGGTTACTCCAAAAAGACTCGTGTCCTTAGAAGGGGGAAATTTGGCACAGAAACCTAGGAAGAATGTCATGGGACAATGAAGGCAGAGATTAGAGTTATGAGCTGCAAAGAACACCAAAGATTGCCAGCTAACCATGGAAGCTAGGAAGAGGCAAGGAAGGATTTCCATAAAAGTTTCAAATGAAACTTTTGCACTGCTCTGCAGACACACTGGCTTCAGATTTTCAGTGTCCAAAACTGTCAGACAAAAAAAATTGTTAATTAAAATCACACAGCTTGTGGTACTTTGTTAAGAAAACTATTTTAAAAAATACATGTGTCTTTATGCTGTACCATCACTATACATTTTTATTGATATTAATGCTTGTTTGTCTATCTATAGCACTGCACCCTCTTCCCACACCTCCCAGAAAGCAAACATCAAAGGAACAGAAATGTTTTTCACTTCTACCTACCAAGAAATGATACCTGCAAAACCATAGGGAACCAAAACTGACATTGGCTAAAACTGAGGGGTGCCCAGGAACCCCAGCTGTTAAAAGGGAAAACCCATGTTGTCCTTCATAAAGGTTCTTGCCACCTGTACACATAAAAGCAAAATAATCAAACTCTAATGTGCTCGAAGATTTTTAATCAGTAAGAGGTTCAAAGGAACGGTGAGTGGGAGGGAGAAGAGTAAGGAAGAGAAGGATTTCAAAATATGAACTCCTGATCACACTCTGAAATCATCCAACCTCTTATGGGCCAACATTCAACCAAACAGGCCAGGCCCAAAACAGAGCAGCAAAGATCCAAGGGCAGAGCTGCCAGGAAAAAGAAAAATCCAAGTCTCCTCTCAGCAGGAAACTCAAGAGTTTATACAGAGGCCAGAAGACTTGGAGGGAAGGAAAGATCCAAACTTTAAAATGTACCACCTAAGCTAAATCCACCAGAAGTTAAGTTAAGGGCTACTATAGTCCCCCAAGAGGGCCAGATCATGCTTCTGCTAGAGTGCTAAAACTGGAAAATAGAGCAGATATGTATGTGCTCAGTGTTTTAAGTCCAATATGGCTGCCCACCTCCACTCCTGGCTCACAGCAGCCCCCTGCCACAGCCTCACCCTGCCCAGAAAGTCAAATACATGGCATCCTGGGAGTTGTGATGTTAGAACCTGACCTCTTAGCAGCGTGACCAGGGGCAGATGGGAGTGGAGTTCAGAAACATCATTCAGTGACTTGGTGCTTGCTCCTCAGTGTTCTCTGACATACTTAAAAGAATTCCTAGTACACAGTAGGCACTCAATAGCTATCTGAATAAAATATTCCTTGTATGTTTTTTTCCTCATCTTTTAATCTAGTAGCTCTTTGCTTGTTTCCCAATTTTTTTTTCCTCTAGTGCTTTATTATTCACAGTAATGGGCAATACAGCTAGCAGGGACAATTTAAATAACCATTAAAATTCAATTTAACTTCTCCTCCTGAATAAAATATTTAAAAATAATTGTTAAAAAGTAATGAGGTTGACTAGTTATAATTTCATCTCCATTTATTTCCCCTAGCCATGCTTTGTGAAAGTGCTATGGAATAAGTAATCAGGTCAGACACCAAGAGAAAATAGGGGAAAAGTTAGATAATCAGCTCTTGATGGTTGATTGAACATAAATTGTTTAACTCACTAAGCAAGTCTCCATGGAAGAAATTATAATTCATAATACTCTTGTAAAAACCATTAATCCCCAATGTAATGATTTCTATCCAACTTATTCAATTTTCTTAACTTTCAATTATTAGGATGTTCAGTCATTTCTGGTTAGGGAAGATAAATAGCTTCCTTTGAGTTGAATAGTTTAAGAGTCCCAAATTAGTTTACCCAGTTTAACTAAACTCATCTATCAGCAACCATAAAATCTGTGAAGTTTGACAGTTATTATACATGTACTGATGCAAGTAACTCTAATAGGATGAAATACCTCTCCATGTGTTTATATTTGCTTTTATCCATGAGACCTTTTTCTCTCTATGACTACTAAAGTTAAACCTTAAAGTGGATTACTTACCTGAAGGGAGAAAATCTATTGGGTCTAAAGAGATTGTGGTATGGTTTTCCCCAAAGGTTCAACTAGGCTTTTCTCAATTGGTCCAGAGTAGGTCTTTTACGAAAAGTCACACCAGGGTTTGTGAAACTAATGACTCTATAGGCCCTCTGGGCCCCTTTTTATGACCTGGAAATATGTATTGGGGGGGCATATCATCTAGGTATAGGTTTATCAAAGAACAAGTCCTCCCTATTTGAGAAACTCATTTTTCTACAGAGTAAAGATGAAATTATTCTCTCCTTATCTTACAAGTTCTTCCTCTCTTCTTTCCTCTGTGCCCCAGGCCTCTTAGCTAAGGGCCTGGGCCTCTTCTCCCTAGTTGAAATCTTAACCTACCTAATCATTGCAGCTACTTGGAGTATTCTATTCAATTTTTTTTTTTTTTTTTTTACCTTTCCTAACCTAATGCTATTTTGATGACCTGTCCAGCCCAGAAACAATCCAGAAGTGCAGGGGATATTCTTCTGTGCCCTAACAGAGTATTCCTTTAGCTTAGTTTGTCTTGGGTCAGTGGTGAGATATCCAAGCATTAATGGGGATTCAAGCATTGATGGGGAAATTATTTTGCATTCTCAAAGCTTCTTTTCCCATAATAAACCTTGATGTTCTGAACATCGCTTTAGTGCAACCCAAACAGCAGAGAAAAAGAGAGATGCTATTCATAGGGGACATTCTTAGTATGTAGAAAGTAGAAACCCTTATAATAAATAAGGGGAGGGAAAGAGAAAATAGTGAACTATTTCACTTTGTCTATCTACTATCATATAAAAAATTGGAGGATGGGCCTCCCTGGTGGCACAAGGGGTTAAGCACTGCACTAAGAAGCAATCCACAGCCTCTGCAGCACGAGTTCGATCCCTGACCGCCAGGGAGAAACCCACATGGTGCACAAACCTCTCCTGTCTTGCCTGCTGCTTCCCTCAGCAGTGTATTTTCCTCAGTCTGCCTGTTGTGTTCCCCACTCTGTCTCTGGTGAATCCTCTCACCCCCTGCATCTCTGGCCTGTGCCCCAGTTCTTATATGCATAAATAAATAAATCTTAAAAAAAAATTGGAGGACAATTAAATAGCACCTGATAGATGAGAGGGAAGTTAAAGGTAGAAAGGGTTTGTGTCCAATTCTGTATCTGAAAATTTGGAAGGGCACTGAGAAGTAGAATGCTGTTGTAGTCACATGAGGCGACAGAGAAGATAAAGTTTCAGAGTAGATAAAGTAGAGCAATGAAGCCCTGAGTAAGCCCTGGTGCATGTCTCAGCTCTCCCCAATAAGGAGTAGATTTTCGTTAAGTTCCTTCTGAGTTCCTAATGCCGAATTTAATGTTCCCGAACAGACTTTGCAGGGGCAAGACGGCACATAGCAGCCAGCCTAGGCTCAGAACAAGATGGCAGACGTGGCAGAGGCTCAGCGTAAACACACGTTCAGGGAGCTCTTACGTCCCACAGTGTCATCAGGGATGGAGAATTCTAAGGATGGACACAGACCGCACTTTATATAAACAACGACAGAGACAGGGCAAGATCATTACTCAACTGGAGTTCAGCAGGAGTCAACAGAGGGTGCTGTGAGGTCCAGCTTCCCCTACGTGTTCTTTTGCTGTATGTGGACATCATTTAGGGAAAGGGTGTGGCGGGGCGGGGGATGAACAAGAGAAAGCCCACTCCAGAGGGTTTGGACTTTTAATTGACTGAATCACTACTAGAATTACCTATTATTTGAAAAAAAAAAAAAAAGTTTCCTGTTTTTTTTCCCTCTCCCATGTTCATATTTAAATCACTTATAGGAACTGCAGAGAGCTGTGTTATGTTACACATCTCAGTCATATGTACAAAAATTTATTTTTCAGGACACCGCTCTTAAAAAAATGGATCAAAACTGACAAAGTTCCAATAATTAAAACTATTAACCTCCCTTTGGTAAGGTGGTATATGAGACCTCAATACTGAAATAGGATAAAACATTAACTTTTTTCCATGTGGGCACTTTATTCTTTGAAATTATTGGATATGTGCAAATGCAGATACCATTTATACTTCACATTTTGAAATATAGAAGATTTATAGAAACAATCTGTTTGGCCGTGTTTAATGTTGTGGTTTGCCTAGAAAAGATTTTAAATCTATTTTTTACTTGGTAAGTTGATTGTGTACTTCTAGGACAGTGGGGATATAAACTGACAATTTGACCAATTATGAATAATAGGAGATAAGTATTTTCCTGTAGCCTTTCCAAAACAGTATCCAATATTTACAATCATAATCATCACTTAGGCATACATCTGTCATTCAGTTATGATTTGTTGGGCATACTAAGCATTTGCAGTATTTCCCTAAACTAAATGTTAAAGAATCCATGAAGTAGAAATGAAAATCAACAATAGATATCCCTCAAATTTGAAATAAAATGTTCCTTAGGGCAAATATTTTTGCTTGTCATGATTTTGGGGAAAAATACTGAATTGATTAGCTATAACTTTTATTTTAAAGAAAAAATTGACAATTAATTTGTTTATAATCCAGATGAAACAAAAGGTAACATAACTACTTTTTAAAATGAAATTACAAATTGGATTAACATTGACTTTGTACAACTAAATGAATTCATTGTATTAGTACATGTTAAAATTATTTTCCATTTCTTAAGATCTGACATTCAAATCCAAAACATTTGTATAAATTAAATGTCGTATGTTAGCAAAATGTGTTTGTTAGATATACATAGTTATCATGAATATACTTTATTCAACATCTTCTTTCCTTGGTAAACAGTAAAGAACTATGACATATGAAGGCAGTGTATAAGAGACATTAAATCAGCTTTGATTCCATTATTAAGAAATCCATATAGTATTGGATTAAGACAACAAGACATCATGCCTAACAAATGACAAATGCAATATACTAACTTGAAATGCCTGTTTGAAATAAGGTTATCATTAAAATCAGTTACCACATGGAAAAGGTGTAGTGGCATCCAGCTAACAGCAAACACTAATATCAGTATGGTGAGTCTGTAGAAAACACTTCGAGATCTCTTTTTGATTCTCATGATAGAACGGTTTACTCTCATTTCCTGGACATCTGAGACTTCTTCAGGCTTCATCTCAAAGCAGGTGGGGACCCCAGGTATGAACTTGCTGGATGAAGAGGGCTGACTTCTCACTGAGCCAAAGTTTTCTGGAAGTGTCCTTGAATGCTTGTTTGGAGGTGGTCTTGCTGGAGCAGGTAACACACAAGCTGTCTTCTTGCTGTATCTTCTTCTGTGTTTTCTGATGAATGAGTAGCTCCATTTATGACCGTTGGAGAGTTTCACCTGTGGTCCACTCTTCTTGGATGGATGAAGCGTTAAATTGATCATCTCCTTTTCTTCCTGCTTATTTTCTTTGTTGGATAACCCACAGCTTATACTCCTGCAGACACTTGTATGACTCACAGTTAGACAAACTAAGGGTAGAATATACTGAACTAGCAATAAAGAGATAGTAAAAGCAATTCTGTATGAATCTGAAGGCCACGACTCAACACACAAATACCTGCTGCTCAGCAACGTGGAGCCGAATGTTTCCTGAAGTTCCACCAGACTGTGAAACACTGGAAGGGGAGAACAAATCGCAAAACCTAGTGTCCAGACAGTGGCTATCAGGAAATAGCCGTGGTTTGCTGTTAAATTATTAGATATAGGATGTTTTATCATATGATATCTGACAATGGCGATAGAGATTAAAATTAAAGTTGAAACCAGAACTGACACACACTGGAGGAAAGGCATGACATGGCACATGACTTTGCCAAACATCCACTGATCCAGCAAGACAGAGGTCAGTGTGAAAGGAGAACAAAACAGAACCACCAGGATATCAGAGAATGCCAAATTTCCAATGAGGAAGTTAACGGTAGTCTTCTGATTACGCTTTTTCATGAGCGCCATTAAAATGAGTAGATTCCCCATAAAACCAAGAAGACTTACAAATGTATACAGTCCAATCAAAAAATACTGCAAGTCATCTACACTACTTTTATAGTCATCCCAGACTGGGAAATCAGAATTCCGAGTGGCAGCAGTATTATTCTCTGTGGCAAGTGTCTTATTATAATAATCCTTGAGCTCTAAATCCATATTATAGTCCTGCAAGGAATAAAAAGACTTTAGTTAGCAATTCGAAAAACTCACATGAACACTATAAATTAGACCACTGAGAGAAAAACCAAATTTTTCACTTAGCTCGCATTACCTTACTCATATTCTATGAAAGTTTAGTGAGATCTCTAAGTGGTTTCAAGTACAGTGTAAATATCAGTCAATAACAATTACACTGTTTAAGTCTATCATTTCTATAGTGTGTAACTTGTATTGAAATAGCAGATTTTGTTTCTTTTAATTTATGTAGTAGCTACTATAAAAGAAAACTGTACATAAGAACTTCATGATAGCTAATTTACAATGACTCATTAATTCTCCAGTCAAGGTATTTGATACATAATATAGTCACATAATCTTAAACACTCCTTCATTTCCTACCCGAATGAAGGCCAAACTTCAAAGTTACCTATGCTAAAGTATTTCTTGGTCTACTCAATTGAATGTGAGTTCCTCTTTGGAGCTCCCATAACCTGTTTATATTTGCCTATTGCTGTATGTCACAGTATACTTTGTATTGCAATTATAATGCATATCAGCTTGCATCCCTTAAAAGCAATGGATATCCACTGTGGTATCTGCAACACACAGCACACTACACCACTGCCAGTGCTAAATAGGTATTGTATGGAGTGGGTGGGAGTGGAAGCTTGGAGCAGGGTACCCAATAGTCTGTAGTGGAGGACTGTGTGTTTTTGTGATAGGTGTGGTATCACATATGTCAGCTTAAAAAAGATAAAAAAGACTTGATGAATTCGTATTAAGGAAAATATTTTAACTTTAAGTTAGAAATACACCCTAGAATTTTTCATTTCAAGACATTAATAATGTAATATAATTAATACCACAGTGAAATTACTGCTACATATTAGAGATTTGTTAAAACTATCTGGCAAAACACAAAACTGCCTATATGTAATATACCAATGAGGAGTACAAGTAGTCCTTCCTCCCCTATAAACAAGTTTTCACTCTCATTATTTTAACAAGTATTTCTTACCTATACACACACACACACACAAAAAAAAAAAAACCAGAAAATTAATTTTGATGACTATACATTGTCACAGAGATTCTCATATATTGGTAGCTATAAAAGGCACTTTCACTCATATCAATATATATTTACCTGTCTATTCATATAGATTTCTTGATCTAAGCTATAAAAATACATATTATATAAATTAATAGTAATACTTTAATCTTCAGTAACTCCTTATAGTCCCCTATAATCACTTATAAGGGATGTATTCGTCCTGGTCAGTATATTTCCAAATAGGAAATCTTATTGTGTGTATATATTCATTATACAAGTTTCAAATAGGGTGATATAGGCATCGTGTACTATGAGAAAATTTGAAGATTTAACTTGTTCACAACTTCTACAATCAATCTATGTTAACAGATTGAATTACTTTCTTGGATCTATTTTCATCCCTCTAAAGACAAATTAATTCAAAAGCTCAGGATCTTATTCATTCATTTATTCTTAGACCATAACCAACAATTTATATTGATATTGCCTCAAGTTAAAAAAGGATACCAGTACAAAAACTAACTCAAAAGGTCTACTGAATCATCTCATCAAAGCAGCCTTAACTGGCCTTTCTCCCTAATTTCCTGAGTTTTGATGACCCCTTGGTTACATCTTGTTTGTCTATTTATACTTATAATATGTTCAAGTTATTTGCTACTGTGATCCTGTTAAATTATTCTTTTGAATCACTGTCTTGAAATAATCTTTTTTTTTTTTTTTGTCAGTGTTTACCTACTGCCTTTTCTACTACAAGGCAGTACAAGAGAGAAATTAGTTGAGTCTACATTGACTTTGTGTTTTTTGGGGACCTGTAGCTGTAGGATGAGACTCATTCAGAGTAAAATACTACCCCAAATTTTTTGAAGAAAAAAGAAATGCTGCACTATTTGTGATAATAAAAACAATGTAGATGTCTTCATGTCAGTTCTCTCTATTGGGCTCTCTAATAGAGATAAAAGAAACTTTTAATTCTTCTCATGATAGTAATAGTGGTTAGCAGAGTATACTGTACATAATGGATGCTAAGTATTTGTTGATAATCATTTTAGAAAAGAAGTTTAATTTTCCCAGCCTTAAAATAACAAAAATGGAACATCCTCAAAATATGGGCACATTTAGCATGGTATATGATTAAATGTGTGTGTGTGTGTGTGTGTAAGGCATGCCTGCTAATATATGCTCATATATTGAAACTACTAAAATTATACTAGTTTTAAATGGCCCCCCAAAAACAAGGAGATACTTACATAGACAATCATGATAGTTTGGCACTTTAAAATTTTAAATTAGATGTCTTCACTGATAACGGCTATCACTAAACAATACAAAACTAGAAAGTAAAAAATAATCACATTTTTATTTAAATGAAATAGTACACAGACTGCATAGTTCTCTGTAGATTAGTGTGTCAACTTTAAATAGAGGCACATAAAATATTGAGTTCATATAAAAACCACTGCTTTGTAAGAAAGCAGTTCAAGGAATTGCCATCTTAAACATTGACTTGACCCAGGAAAAACTAGGAGCAACACCTCTTTCTCTCTCTAAAAAAGGGAGTAATTTGCATGAAATCTTAAAGGGAGGCTTTGTTAATGAGTAGCTAAGAAAGATTAGCTGTTCCTGCCTTTATTCATTCAACTAGCACCTTTGAACATCTAATGTGCCAGGTGCTCTGCTAGCTCTGGTGGCATAAAGATAACTAACACAAGGTACTATGTAAAGAATGTTCTATGAGAAATTAGCACAAACTGCAAGAGCCTGAGATACCAAGGACCCTAAAAGCATGATGAACAAAGGGCTTTCTACTCTTTTTCACTATGGCAATGGACACTTGCATTTGTTGCTGAATATAAGGAGTTATTTGTACCTACTGGTGTACTAATAAATTATCAATTTTTTTCTTATGGTTTTTTCTCTCCCCTAACATCCATCCATCCATTCAACACTCATTTTATTTTGGTTTGACTATATAGTCAACCTTTTCTTGCTTTCCCTCTAGCCCCAACTGTACACAAATATACACACCACACAACACCTAATATGCATCATGCTCTTCACTAAATGAGCATTTAGTAAAGTTTTGTTCTAATGAATGACTTTTCACGCTTAAATGCTAATGGTGATTACAAATGATGGGAAGATGAGAGAGGGGATGCTAAACTGTTTTTGTTTTTTTTTTAAGTGCCTCCTTGTAAGCAGGGGTTAGTTTAAGTATTAGGAAAATTTAACCAATAAGATTTAAGACTTCTCTTTTCAACTGGAAATCTAAGGTAGAAATGTAATCTGTTTGCTAATGTCGGGTTTTCAACAAGTGTTACAGTGAATGCTGTACAATTTTATGCAAGATATTTTATACATGATAAAAATAATGCTATAGGTAAATATTTCACCTCAGGTTACTAAAACAATATTAGTCAGAGAAGATGTTTTTCAAATGAAATATTGAGAAAAAATTGATATTGACAATGTGAAACCTTCATTAGACTAATTGGAACTGTTTGTTTCTTTTGTATCCCAGTTTTATTTTCCACCATCAGAATTCTCAGTTGAAACATCAAACTTGACTCCTCAGAGTAAAGCGTGAAAAAAAAAAGTTCTTCATCAAACTTGATGACTTTCAAAGAACAATGTTTCTATAAGATTTATTGTAGTTTTCCTATAAAAATGGATCTATATGTGACACCAAGACAAATGAAATGATCTGAATAGACTAAGGATTTTAAGAATATTGTTCTTAAAAAGAATTAACAAAAGGAACTGCAGAGAAATCAAAGGATACTGAAACATTTAGCTTCCTCATTTAAATAAGGCTTCTTTGTTAGGATAATTTCCTACCTTATGAAAATGCATCTTCTCACAAAGGAAATCAATCAGAGAAGAATAAAATACATTTTTCCTCTCGTATGAATGATAAAATATCGATTACTGCCTATTTTACAGTGATCTTGGAACAATGGAGAGATTTCACGGTCTCAAATATTCCCATGAAAGCCAGAATCCAGTAGAATTTGAGCACGATAGATTAAAAATATAGTTCTGCTCAGCAGACGAAGACTCAGGCACGCGCCACCCTCTCCTCAAACCCAACCGCAGAGTTTCTTTTCCCTGAGAAATCTGAAATTTACAATTACATTCGGGCTACAAAATTCTGCTGAAAGAGACGCAGGCTATTCCTATGGTCCACAGCAGACTTGTAGGGAGGATTCAGCAAGATGGTTCAGCTTAAAGACAAACTAAAGGTTTGTAAACGTGGGGATAAAAATTCCCTATTTCTGAAATTCGAGGAGCATGGAGATATGCCACCGTGGAAACAGAAGATCAGATCCAGGGGCGCGGCAGCCTCCGGTCCTCGCTCCAGCTGTGGGACAGCGCGGCAGCTGGACGCCCCAGTGGCTCCAGGAGGACCGCGCCCCGGGTCTCCCCAGAGTCCGGCCAGTGCGCAACACTGACCCTGCACCCCGCGGGCTTCTGTTGCTCAGCTTCAGAAACCAGAGGGGCTGCACCCATTACTCGCCCCATGGAGTCGGGGCGAGGGGTCCTCTCCGACCCCTAACCCCCACCTGTGCCCTCCCGCCCAGGCGCGCGAGAAGGTCGGGGTGAGTACCTGTCCCGCCAGAAAGGGCTCCCCGGGGTCCCTCCCCGGCCCCCCATCACTCCCATCATTGCCTCTCCCGCTACCCAAACCCCTACTTTTCTCCCGCTTCCCCTCCGCGTCCAGTCGGGAGCCCAGACTGGGGTCCGACTGGCCGCGGGCGCTTCCTCTAGCTCCAGGCCCACCCCGCGCGCATCGCGGCTCCGGGGAGGGCAGAACCCGGTACCTCGGGGCGCCTCGGCCGCTGCCGGAGCCTGGGTTCCCCGGAACGTGGCCGAGCGCGCTGGCTCCTGCTCCCGGGCGGCGGCGGCGACAGGAGGAGGACCTGGAGGTGGCGGTGGGGAAGAGGGGGCGGGGAGC